TAACCTTAAGACTTTCAATCATGTCTCTTTTAGGAATCAACGCAATAAAAGTAGAATTTAAGCTAATGTTTACCTTTTTGTTATCAAAAAATTCATTAATTATACCTATCACCTCACCATTTACCTGTTCCAAAAATGATGGAAAAAACCTAAAGGGAAACCATATGTTCCAGGAGCCCTATCTCCTGCCAGGCTAAACATAGCTTTCTTAATCTCCATCTCTGAAAAAGGTTTCTCCAACTACCTCGACCGCTATTGAGATAATTTAGAAAAAGCAACCTAGCTAAAATTTGTTTTTGGTACTTTCCCAGCAGAAAAAGCCTCCTGAAAATGCTTGATAATAGTATTTTCTAAGCCATTTTCATCTCCTTATACATAAATCAAATCTTAAGACCCTGTATAATGTTGGTTCTTCTTCTAGCATTTGGAGTGACATGAAAGAATCTAGTGTTTAGGTCCCCCTCCTTAAGCCATCGTATCCTAGCTATTTGTTTATGGTATGTTTCCTTAGCTAACAAGCAACTCTGTAATTCTCTATTTAGACTGTTTCGAAGAATGTTATCATCCCACTCAATAATTCCAGAGTCTCATTCTTTCAGATCAATCTCTGAAATTTTATGCAGAATCTCCTCAATCTGCCACTTGTAATTTCCCCCATTTGTCCTTTTCCAATTGATAAGGTCATTCTTTACATTCTATGCCTTCTTTGCAGCTATATAACCATTCCACCCATCAACCTCTTCCTTCATTCAGACATATTTAATCAACTCATTCACTTCAATGTTTCTAATCCATGTCATTTCAAACTTAAAATATCCTAGGTTATTTACAAGGGTCTCACTTCCCAAATCAAATGAATATAATCAGATGAATGTTTTGGGAGTCCTCTAGCTTCAGCCTTAAGGAACTTTTCAGTCCACCCATCATTAGCCAGAATTCTATCAATTCTAGTCATTACAAGGTTAGTAATACAATTATTGGACCAAGTAAATTTGGCCCCAACTCTAGAAACATCTAATAAACCAAAATTAACAATAAAATTTGAAAAACCCCTCATACAAGAATTTATTCTGTGAGAAATATTGGAGTATTCAGGTCATCTAATGACATTAAAATCCCCACCTAACAACCAAGGTAAGGAAAAGTCCCTACCAATTTTTGAGATTTCTGCCAAAAAATCCATTCTCAACCTAAGATAGTTAGGGTCATAAACATTTGTGATTAGGAAATTAAAACTACCATTAACAAACACAAAATTACAAGAAATAGATCAATTTTCAACCACATACCAAATACTTGCATACACTAGGATCCCATAATGTCTAGATACCACCTATAGATTATTTACAGCAAAAGAGTAGGGTTCTGTTACCCCACACAAAACGAACAGACAAAAAAGTAGGTCATGACACTTTAGTTTCTTGCAGCAAAACAATAACATGGCACTCATGCTTAATCATCATTAACAATTTTGATTTACATTTAACATCACATAAAGCCCCTAGTGTTCCAAGATAATATCTTAATCATTTGGAAATAAAAGGACTGTGCCTAGTAGCATACATGCTAGCCAACATAGATCCAATATCTCCTCCCACATTTTTCTTACCTTTTCCACCATTGGCAGACCTATCAACTCTTTTTTTTTTTCTTCTTTTTCCATAAGTGACCGAAGCCTCCTTAGAATCACTATGTTTCTTCACGGTGCTTTCTTGACTAAAGGACGAGACCTCTTCTTTGCCATTCTATCTCTTCAGGTTACTTTCTTGTCGATCTAGGCTGAGTATAGCTTTGACGGCTTCCACAATGCTCTCAGTTGTACCGTGAGAGTTTACCTTCATTCCTTCAAGCATTAACACCACCTGATCATGCTCCATTTGGTCTCCACCAGTAGCTGGCAACATACATAGAGGGATTGCATTTTCAACTATATTTTCCTTTCTCCATTGATTAATATTTGAGGATTCTCCCTCTACAGTCTGTGATCCAATCATGCTTGCTGTCAAAGCTTTTCGTCATCCTCACCATCAAGTACAATCACCAATTCTTTGGGCCATTCACTCCTAGCAGATTCATTTGGGGCCTTAAACTTTCCCGCAAATATAGCCTTTTGATAGGGGAGTAATCGATGATTTCCTCTCTTATCTCCCACTCTATCTCATGGTCTTTTCTGGTGTACCAATCATTCTTGTTCAACAAACATCCATCCTTGTATAGTCTTCCCTCTCTCTATCTGACCAAAATCATAATTACCTTCCTTGACCAGCATCGTCCTATAGATCTCGATCTCATTCTCATTTTCCAACCGTTTCTAATCTTCTACTTGTCATAAATTTCCTGTCACCATAGATCTCGCAATCTTTTTTGGGTCTTCATTCTGTCATCCCATTAAGGTTTGATCTCCATTTTGCCCTCCCCCCTTTAACTGCCCCATGTTTGAATCACTCGTATCACCCTTGTTTAAATCCTTTCCAACACCTTCCTTAGGTGTATTCACCATAGCCTTTCGGTTCGAAATAAATTTTTGGCTAATTTGCCCTTTTGCTACCCATTTCTTTTTACCACCCAAAATATTAACTTCTCCAATTTGAAAGCTGCTATGCTGTTTGAAACATAGTTAGCAAGTCCAGGAAGATCAATATATCCGCTTACCATAAAATCGGAAATAAATCGTTTTTATTTTAAAAAATTGGATGAAAAAATCAAGTAAAAAATACGGATCGGCAAAAATACTTTATGCAAAAATATCGCAAATATATCGGACTAGGCTCAACAAAGCAAAGTAAAAAAAATGGACAAGTTTCAAATAAAATTAAGTAGAAATTAAAATAAAATTAAGTTGAAATAAAAAAAAAAATTGATAGGATGCTGATAAATATACGATATGAATTTTCTCATTAAATGCTTTAACAAACATCACACATACTTAGTACATAACGGAAAAAAAGACGAAGGAGCAATGTGAGATAAGCAGAATTGAGTTGGGTACATTCATTTCTCTCTTCGTATGGTGACCATCCCTTTATAACTATAGTTATGCAATGGGAACATGCACACGTTTTTTCGTTAGACGAGCAACAAACGCAGTAGACCAAGAAGAAACACAGAACAAGAAGATGAGCATTACACAAAGTGAGAGAAAAGCAAACACAAAATCTTCTATAAAGAAACGTAGAGTGAGAGAGAGAGCATGCATAGGCAAAAGAGAAACAAGATGGACATAAAATCTCAGAGAAGATGAAGAACACGGTGGACATAGACCCTAATCCAAGATTTCCAGTCATGAATTGGGTTTGGGGACTGAGCCCTAATCTGGATTATTTATTTATTTATTTTTAAGCTTTTGTTTTATGGATTTACTAAACCAAGATTTCCAGTCTTAAATTTAGTTTTGGGATTGAGCTCTAATCTGGTTTTTTTTTTTTTTAAAGCTTTTGTTTTAGGGATTTAAGATGTTGTACAAATTGTGATAATCTAGGCCTTTGAGCCCTAATTTGGATGGATTTTTTGGTGGAATTTTGCCAAGTCAGAATTTGGGCATCTTTTATTCAATGGTTTTTACGGTATTTTATTCTAATTTGATTCAATGGATTTGAGCATAAACCCTAACAATATACTTAGGGATAAAAATTTATTTTTTAGGGTTTTTTGGAAATAATATTCCTTTTAGAAAGCATGGAAATAACCATTAAACAAGATAAAAGTTTTCATCTTTTAGAAGAAAAAAATACAGGTAAAAACGGCAAAGTTTTTTTGGATCGATTTTTTCATAAAAATCAATAGGCGCTTTTTAAACATTTAGGTGAAATAAACATGTATTTTTGCCAATCTTCTAAAAAAGTCGCAGTTTTAAACGTTTTTGAAAAAACTCCGTATTTTTAAAAAATTCACGTTTTAAACGTTGACTTGCTAACTATGGTTTGAAACCTCTTTCTGTATACATGTTAACTTTTTTATTTGGCCACCTGTCCCAATGGTTCCAACCATTCCACTTGTCCCTCTGATTTATCATTCTTCTCTATTCATCTTTATTCCTCCATTGATGGATCTTGTCCTTCTTCTATTTTCTATTCTTTAACCTCGTCCAATCTTCATCAATTTTTACACCAATATTACTTGCTTGTCATCCTCATCTGTTGATTGTATCCCTTATACACAAATGGATAGTTTAAACTCAGAATTTTCAGCTTTAACAATAATCTTATCAGGAATTTTCATTTCTTTTAAATTCTGATGCGACTAATACCTATCTTTGTTTCAATAATCGAATCCCAATCAATTTCAATGATTTTACCACACTGTACCGCCATGGATTTAAAACACCTCAAAATTCTATACATAAATAGGCAAACTTTCAATTATGATCTAAATATTTCTCGTAAAATTATAAAAAATTTAATCGATTCGCTCCAATCTTGAATAGTTAGCAATCGACCTTTAAATCTCCAATAGCTTTTTTGAAGAATCTCATCACAAACGTCACTTCCACAAAAAAAAACCGAACAAAATATTTTCCCAAAAAATAATAATCTCTCTCTACCGCATACCATCAATCTATCTCTACGCCAAAAACACACTCTCTCTTCCCCACCCTATCAAAAGCCAAAAGATTTCTTACTCCCATGAGAGTATATTATCTATTTACCCCCTTGAGCATAGAATTTCTATAACCCATAAATTAATCTCAAATTTTTTTTTAATAAGTCTTTTATATACTAAAAAAATAATAATACCTCAAAATTAAATAGAGGCCTTCGAGCTTTTGAAGAGCTGGAACTAAGTGTTACAAATTTAAAAAATTTAAAATAATCATCGAATAGTTCTTATATAGTTACAAAACTTTTGTATTAAAATAATCTTTCTAAATAGGTATTTCATACGAGGGAGTAGATGCATAACATGCTCCCACAAAATACAAAAAGCATAGTATGCGTGCTCCCATCAAAATCTACACCAAAAACTCTCTCCCTCTCCCTCTCTAACCAGAGAAAAACAAAAAGAAAAAAAAAAGAAAAAAAAAAGAAAAATGAAAAAAAAAAAGGAAGATGCCCTCCCTTCCTGTCTAGGGCTAAATCCCTCTTCTTTAGGAAGCCATCCCACACTTTTTTCCATCCCCTTCCCTCTATTCTCTAAACCTCTGTTCTTCATTGCCATATTTTATGCGTAAATTTCTTTTGTGGTATATTTAGATAAAAAAGAAGAAGAAGAGAGAATGTAATGAATAAAGAACATTAAAAATGAAGGGTAGAATCATGAGACGTCACTGATATGCCTTCAACGGTTAGCTAGAGAGAGAATACGCGATTGGGTGGGAGACTCGGGGTTGCAGGGAGCTGGGTTAGCAGAGAGAGAGAATGGGCTTGGGTAGAGAGAGCTTGAGGTCACCAAGGAAGAGAGGGAAGAGGGGTTCTGCTGGGGAAGGAAGAGAGAGAGAAGGGGATTTGGCACTTTCATAACCCAAAAAGGGGCATGAGAGTTCCATGGAAATTCCCGAGTTTTAGAGGCTATAATATTCTTCTCCCTCTCCAATATAGGCTCTCACTTAATTCTTCTTCTCTCATGCTCCTCCATTCTCATGCATCCAAGCTTCTAATATCTTTTGATGACTCCGTTCGTGAAAAAATTACCAGAGCAAATGCTTCGGAATCGGAATGGATCTCAAGGATGAGAGAGAGTTGCAAAAGAGGTGGTGTTGAAGAAGCCATCACTCTTTATTGCCACATGAGTGCTTGTGGCATAAAACCTGACATTTCCATGTTTCCTATTCTCATCAAGGCATCTTGTCAGTCATCGAATGCTGAGTTGGGTAAAGCAATTTTTGGGCATATTTTGGAGTTGGGTTTTGATGAAGATGTCATTATAGCCACTGCAATAGTTGATATGTTTGCCAAATTTTTAGATATTCAAAGTGCTCGTAAAGTATTTGATAAAATTCTTAAGAGAGATGTTGCTTCTTGGAATGCGATGATAGCTGGTTATTCTCGGATGGGGTATGTGCACGAGGCTTTGGTACTCTTTCACAGGATGTTAACTTCTCTAAAACCCAATTATCTGACTATCTCAATTTTGCTTCAGGTATGTGCAGACTCGGGTTTTGAGGATCTTGGAAGGGTGCTTCATGGCTATGTTCTTCGACAAGGCCTACAAAGTGATGTGTTTCTCCATAATTCTTTCTTGGTCATGTATAACAAGTGTGATAATATAAAATTTTCGGAGCGGCTTTTTGAAAGAATGTCTAGAAGAGACTTGGTATCATGGAATGTGATGATTTCGGGGTATACACATACTGGATTTCCTGAAAAGGCATTGGAAATGTTTTATAGATTGCAAATGGAGGGGCTCATTTGTGATTTGATCACATTGGAGGCGATCCTTCATGCTTGTGCTCAATTAGGGGACATTGAAGAAAGTAAATACATCCATGATTGTATAGTTAGATCAGGTTACTTCTTGGATCTTTATGCTGATAATTCCATACTTGTCATGTATTGCAAGTGTGGAAGTGTATACTCTGCACTTGAGCTTTTCAATAGAATGTCTCAAAGAAATCTGGTTTCTTGGAATGTAATGATTGATGGGTTTGTAAGGGCTGGTCACCCTAGCAAGGCATTAATGATGTTTAAGAACTTACGAGTCTTTGAAAATAGAATTAGTTCAGAATCTCTGGTGGCTGCTTTGCAGGCTGTGAAGCAATCTAAACAACTCAATCAGGGCATGTGCATCCATGGTCAAGCCATATTTTTTGGATTTGATTCTGATGCATTTGTTCTAAACTCTATCATCGGTATGTATGGTGCATGTGCAAGCATTACCAGCGCTCATAATTGCTTCCAGTTTATGTGTGAAAGGAATACAATTACTTGGAATACCATGATCTATGTGTATGCTGAGAATGCATGTTTTCGTGAAGCATTTGAACTTCTTGGGTCCATGCAGTTTGTTGGGTACAAAGCCGATGCCATTACACTTGTCAATATCCTCTTAGCATGTACCCTAAGCTTAGATTTGAAGCATGGGAAGATTGTCCATGGTTATGCAGCCAGAAATGGGTTAGAATCTGATGTTTTTGTGGCTACTTCTTTGTTAGACCTCTATGCAAAGTGTGGGAGACTAAGCATGTCATGCTCAATATTCCAGCTAATTCCCACAAGAAACTTAGTCACATGGAATGCTATGATGCAGGGTTGCTGTAAAAATGGGTTTTTTAGAGAGTCATTGAGTCTGTTTCATCTGATGCAGCAGGTGGGCTTGGTGCCTGATGTGACCTCCATGGTTCTTCTTATTCAAGCTTGTTCTCTGAGTGGTTGGAGAAAAGAAGGAAAGTTTATTCATGACTATGTCATTGGAGCAGGTCTTGAATCAAACGAGTTCATTGCCAGTTCCCTGATAACCATGTACTCAAAATTCAATGATTTTGATTCAGCAAAATCTGTATTTGATGGAAATTCTTCAAGAAACATTGTAATTTGGAATGCCATGATTGCTGGTGTTGCCCAGAGTGCCCTTGCAAGTCAGGCTATGACATTATTTCGCCTTCTTAGGCACAATGATATTATTCCTGATTCAGTGACTTTTATTTCAGTTCTTCCATCTTGTGCTTGTTCAACATGGTTGCAACATGGGAAATGGATTCATTCATTGGTTATTAGACTTGGATATGAATCTGATGCTTTTGTGGGGACTTGTCTGCTTGATGTGTATGCAAAGTGCGGTGCTATAGACATGGCTAGGCTTGTATTTGATGGAATGGGCATAAGAACAACACTCACATGGAATGCGATGCTTGCAGCAAATGGCATACATGGGAATGTCGAAGAGGCCCACAAACTCTTTTCCCAAATGCAGAAGTTGGGGCTGGATCCTGATAATGTAACATTCCTTTGCCTTTTATCGGTTTGTAGACATACAGGGGAGGTCGAGAAGGGCCTCCAGTATTTTGAGTTAATGACCAAAGTTTACTCGATCGTGCCAAGATCAGAGCACTATGCCTGCATGGTTGACCTTCTCAGCCGAGGTGGGCTCCTCTCAGAAGCTCTTAAATTCATTGAGGAGATCTCAATTGAACCCACAAGTAGTGCTTGGGGCTCTTTGCTCAGTGCATGTCGTGATCAGGGAAATGTAGAAATAGGAGAGTTGGTGTCTGAGAAGCTCTTTGAGTTAAATCCAGAGCAAAGTGGATACCATATGCTACTCTCTAACATTTATGCAGCGAACGGGAGGTGGTTGGAGGCTGCTAGTGTGAGAATGAAGCTCAAAGAAAGGGGAGTGAGGAAGCAGCCAGCATGGAGTGTTGTAGAAACTTTTTGATAGATGCGCTAAGAATAATCTTGACAATGTTCTTAACTGCTAGTTTGTTACAGATGTTGGGAAGCTGAACCATGATTTTCTAAGCACGACATTAGAAGTTGTGATGCTGGGAAGCTGAACCATGACACCCATTTGCAAAAAGAAACATTTTATTGGTTTTGAAGGAAATGAAAGAAAAGGTTAGCCACAGATGATGCATTTCTTGAATGGAATGTTGGAGCTCCAAAGTATGGATATTAGAGTTGCATAAATGGGCCAAAATGCAAGCAGACATTATTCCAAAACACAGTGGAACTCACTTACTAGAGAAAAATAGCTTAAGAAAAGAAAGTGGACCATGCATAACAGGGAATTGGAGACAACTACTTCACTATTCCCTTTTCTTGAGCTGGCTCTTTCCCTGATGAAATTCCACAATTCTGCTTTCCTGCATTCTCCTAGATGAGTGAACAACAAACTTGGATTCTTTAGTTTTCTGTGGGTGAATTCTGGTCTTGCATTCATAGAAACCAGTATGCACAAATAAGTTTCCATTCTGATTTGTTCTATAAGCTAGTAGGCTACAAGATAAAGAGATATAAAATGTTTTGACCTGTCCTTTTCCTTTTTGCATGTCAGGTTTCAGATTTCGTTGTCAAGTGTGAAGGTTATATAATGCATAATGAATTCTGCTGAGGAGCCAGGGTAATTTTTGTCATTCAATAAATGAATTTACTGTCCTTGAAATGTTGTTGTGAAATTCCTAGCTTAGCATTTTACCCTTTTCTATTCTCTGTTCATTGTTTTCTAGCGAGACAGGTATGGGTTTCATTTCTTTTTAGAACGTTTACTTGTATTTGGTGTGTCAAAAGTGACAAAAGATGCCAACCCCTAAAGAAAGGGTGCCGAATACATCTTGCCCCAGGAGGGCAAAAAGTGATTTACATCAAGGAAAAAAAAATATCAGCAACAGGAGGAAGGGAGGAAAGCACTTGATGATCGCCTAGGCCCCTGAAGTGGGGTTAGAGTGGGCTCCCTCCCTAGCCAAGATATCGGCTGCAGTATGCGAATCTCCTAAAAGTTGTGGTGGAGTCTCCATGGGCAAGAGGAAGGGTTGGAGGTCCAGGCTATAACATTCCTTGAATCCCCTTCCACACAAAGCACAGGACTCCAGGAGGAGTTAAACTTGTGAAGGCCCTCCAGTAAGCAAGGGCCTCAGCAAGAGTTGAGTCGGCTGTACCTATGAAGGTTAAGAGAGGGCTTCCATCGTGGGTTCTGAATAGGCCCCGTATACCGGAGGGTCCAGGGTTGCCAACGGGGCAACCATCGAAGTTTCACTTGGTACACCCCAATTCTGGAGGTCTCCAGAGGGACGCCCGTGAGATCGTCGGGGTTGACAGTGCTAACAGGGAATGCCAATTGCTGTAAAGGTCGCAATAGACATAGAGCTTGTGATTTTTGGCCCATAAGGAAACCGACCTTCGAACTTTGTCAATCATGGAGGCGACCGAGGACCTCTTGCCCTTGAAGGTTCTGTTGTTTCCTTCAGTCCAAATCACCCAAACAGTGGCTGCGATGGATGCTCTCCAAAGAATGCAACCTGCTTTGGGCCAGGGAGGGGATAGGAAAGCCTCGAACTAGTGCGGAATATACTGTGGTGTAACCCAAAACCACTTGAAGAGTTGGAGCAGGTTGCTCCATAACGCACTGGTCACCTCACAGGGGATAAAGAGGTGTTCATTGCTTTCTTCTGCAGCCATGCACATGATGCACCAGTTGGGGCAAGGGAGACCCTTTCTTTGGATTTGGTCAATGGTTAATACTCTCTCATAGGGAGTAATCCAGCATAGGACCTGAATGTGAGGAGGGATAAAAAGAAACCACGCCTTGGAACAATAACAAGGGGAGGAGAAGCATGGTTAGGGGGAAGGGAAAGGGTACGAAAGAAGGAAGACACAGAGAACGTATCAGAGGCAGCAGGTGCCCAAATAGTCTCGTCTTCCCCACTTAGGGGAAGGAAGACCGAGTGTAACAAATGAGCCAAGGCCCCGAAGTTCTCCAGCTCATGATAGAATAAAGGCCTCCTGAAGTTAGGGGTCCAGGATCTTATTGGCCCAGCACAAGTGAAGTTCTCGGCCACTGAAGAATGAGCATCACGAGCAAGGGAGAATAGATTGGTGAATAGGTCGCTGAGGGGACACTACCTAGCCAAGCGTCTAACCAGAATTTCACTTTGTTACTGGCCCTAGGGTGAAAACAAATATGTTGAAAGAAAAGGTCACGGCAATGGAGCATGGACCTCCAGAAGCCCAAGATATTGCCACTGACTTTGCACGTAGTCCAACTATTGTTCCCATAACAATATTTGTCGTGAATGACTTCCCTCCACAGGTGTTGAGGCTGAGTGGCATATCTCCACCACCATTTTCCCAAGAGGGTGACATTGTGGGATCTGAGATTGCGAATGCCTAAGCCTCCAAGGGCTTTCGGCCTACAGAGTTTGGGTCAAGAAACAAGGTGGTACTAATAACCATTGTCCCCAGACTAAAAGAACTCACGCATCATCCTCTCTAACCTGGCAGCAACGAAGTAGGGGATGTGGAATAAAGACATCTGAAAAATGGGGGTATTAGCAAGGGTAGCCTAAATAAGCGTAAGCCTACTGCCTTTGAGAGGTATCTACCTTTCCATTCCGCAACTTTCTGTCGAATTTGTCAATAATATGGCTCCAGTGGTGAAGGCGCGGCATGCCTAAGCACAGAGGGAGACCGAGGTAAGAAGAGGGTAGCTCATCAAACCTCATTTATCAGCCATGGATTGTACAAACAGAGGATCTGAGTTAACCTCCATCATTTTGGTCTTGGAAATGTTAACCTTGAAACCAGTGGCGAATTGGAAACACCTTAAGAAGAGAAGGGTATCCACTTGCTGAATAGAGGCATCGTAGAAGACTAAGGTGTCGTCTGCGTATTGGAGATGGGAGTTGTTAGGGCTGTGGTTACTAGACTGGAAGCCCTTGAGTATCCCAGCTTGGTAGAGCCTAGTGATAAAACTACTGAAAACTTCGTTCATGATGGCAAATAAGAAGGGTGACAGGGGGTCCCCTTGGCAAATGCCTCTAGAGGCCAGGGATAACCCCTTCGGGGTTCCGTTAAGCAAACACCAAAAAGACGGGACTAGAAATACTGCCATGCACCCATTTTCTCCATTTGGGTCCTAAGGCCATCCTTCTGAGAGTCTCATTTAGGATCGAGCAGTCAATGTAGTCATATGCTTTCTCCCAATCTAGCTTGATGATTTGGCCAGGAACCTTGGATTTGTATCAAGTATGGATACACTCATGGGCAATGAGTGCTACATTGAGGATTTGTCGATCCTTTACAAAAGCTCCCTGAGTAGGGGAAATTACTTAGTTGAGGACAGCCTTGAGTCTTGTGGCAAGACTTTGGAGAGAAGTTTGTAAGAGCTATTGATGAGGCTAATGGGTCTGAAATCTTTTAGTTCCTCAGCCCCTTCAATCTTCAGAATAAGGGCTACAAAGGTGGCATTCATGGATTTACCGATTACTCCTCTGGAATGAAACTTAGAGAAGAAGGTGAGAATATCAAGCCAGAGTACCCTCCCAAAAAGATTTGAAGAATGCCACTTGGTACCCATTCGGTCCTAGGGCACGGTTGGGATTGAGGTCTTTGACGGCACTCAGAATCTCTTCCTCAGAGAAGGGCTGTTCCAACTAGCTAGATTGTTCCTAGGGGAGAGTAAGAAAGGATAAATCGTCCATTGTGGGTCTCGCCCTGACTGGGAGGCAAAAAGGTGGGCAAAGAATTGAACACTGCTTATCCAATGAGTTGAGGTTGATCTAGGATCGAGTTGCCCACCTTGAGGTGCGTGATGGAGTTTTCTTGTCTCCAGCAGTTCACTACTTTGTGAAAATAGCCAGTGTTGAGGTTGTCGAGCTTGAGCCATTTGACTGTGGCTCTTTGGGCCCAATAGATTTCCTCCTTGCCGAGAAGGAGGTGGTAGTCAAATTTGGCTTTAGACTGGACCTGTAATTCGGCAGTCAGAAGGGTTCTCAACTCCTCGGTTGTGTCCCAATGATGAATAGATAGAAGAAGGGCTTCCTTTTGAGCATGGAAATTATCGGGGATCTGGGAACTTCACGTCTTTAGAGAGGATTTAAGAAGTTGCAGTTTCCATTGAAGGCGGAAGCTAGCTCAGGCATACATAGTTGAAGAAAAGGACTTCCACCATGATTTCACAAGATTGGGGAAATTGGGTTCTTTGAGTTAGGCAAGCTCAAAGCAAAAAGGTTTAGGCCCTCTAGAGATAGCTTGGGTGTCGAGGAGGATCTGACAATGGTCTGAAGTGGGTTTGGGTAGAGTGACAGAGTGGGAACCCAGGAAATGGTTGTCCAAATCGAAGGAGATAAGAAAGTGGTCAATCTTGGATAGTGAAGGAATGGAAGAGTGATTGAACCATGTAAATTGGGCCCCTTCTAGCAGAATATCAACAAGCTGATTATGGGACATGAAATTAGAACAATGGATCATGGTAGGAGTGATGGATGGGTTGGACTTCCGGTTGTGGGACCGCTGGGTGACATTGAAGCCCCCTCCTAAGCACCACACAGAGGGGGCGACCGAGGCTAGGGATTTGAGCTCTGCTTAGAAAGAGGCTTTGAGATTGTCTAGGTCTATGGCCCCAAATATGCCAAATTAATGGAAGAGTGGGGGGAGGGAGTTTGGTTTCAACCAAGGCGAGGATGGAAGGGGACGGTTTCGCACAAAGGTCACGGATAGCCCTCCTTCAATGCGACTGGCCTAAGCCCTAGATGTTCCATATTAAAATCCTCATGAGGGGGGGCCAGCAGAGGGGTTGTGCCTAGGTCTGTGCGTAGCCAAGGGTGGTGCAATTAGACCAGGGGAGGGGTGGGAAATCAAGTTCTCTCCCTTACTGTAGTTAATCCTATAAATGAGGTTAGAAAGCTCCTGTTTGCCCTTAACATTAGCTTTTGTTTTTGGGTTCTGCCTTGAACTCTTTGAGAAGCTCTTTTGAGCCATTACACTTGGACCCATGACCTTGAGGACCTGAGACATGTCGCCTTGTGCCATGTCCATTTCCTAGACAAAAGTGGAGTCAACTGAGGTGATTGACTTGTCTTGTAAGGAGTCTAGAGGAGCCCTCGAGGAGCCAGAAGATTCTGAAATGCTGAACAGGGTTGTAGCATAGAAGGGGAGGGGAAAAGGGTCGCCAGCAAGAATCTAGCCATCCAGAGGGAGTTGATGGGGGGAGGATGGGTAGAGAGAGGAGAGGGGTGGAATAGGCAGGGAAGAGAAAGAGAGGGAAGGTCGAAGCCCGGAGGAAGGGCCAGAAGAGGAGAGGGATCACCGATAGAGATGGGGGTAGAGAGAGCCAACGAAGGCAAAGATGACAAGGAGGGGGAAAGGGAAGCCAGAGGAGGAGGGAGAGTTAGGGGGCTAGCAAAAACTGTTAGGGGGTGGGAAGGAGTCTGAGAACAGGGTGAAGGGACGGGAGTATGGGACAGGAAAGAGGAGGAGGGAGACGGGGATAGAACAGAGAAGTGGTGGAGAGGCAGGGAGAAGGCCATGGCCAGGGAAGTAGACTGCGAAAGAAGAGGGGGGTGAGGTTGAGAGGGGTGAAGAAGGAGAGGGAAAGAAGGAGAGGGAAAGAAGGGAGTGAAGGGGAGAAACAAGGCGAGAGGTCAGGGAGAGGGGAGGCGGTAAACGCGAACAAGGTGGGGTTAGAGACGAGGCTGGGCTTTGACCCACCAAGAGGGAACATCGTCAATGTTGAGCCAGGGTGTGAAGACAAAGGAGCTGAGGCCGAGAGTGTAGGTGACACCAATGCCTGAGACGAAAGAGATGTGGAAGTACTGGTAAGGGGAAAACAGAGCGGGGTTGGGGAGGAACAGGAAGAGGAAGGGATGGCGAAAGATGTCAACCCCTTGCAATAAACAGATTCAGGGAAGGGCTCAACTGGGGGCTGCTTCGAGGATGCGACCTGGTTGGCATAGGGGCACTGAGTCTCGGGATGAATGGAGGGAGGGTGAGACGACAGACCCAGATTGAAGACTGATGGACTAAGGCGAAAGAGCCTGCTTTCCACATGGCTTGATCTGGGAGGCATAGGTGGTGTGTATCATGTGACAGGTCGAGATAATATCATGTGAGGGGGGGAAGGCGGGAGCGAAACCTTGGTGGCTTGCTTCTCACGGCAGAGTGCCAACTCGGCAGGGTGATGTGTCGTTTTTAGGTGGGCTGCATGGTGTGGTGCCACCTGGCCATCTGGCACTAATGGGGTCGAAGGGGAGTCCGAGGAATGGTCAAGGCCACCGACATATGTCTGAGAAAGAAGGGCATGGTTGTTGACGTGTGGTTATGCGAGGGGGGCAAGTTGGGCCATCAGATTGGGGTTACGAACCGCTACCATTGGAGGGGGTTGGGGATCACGGTAGGCCCTTCGATGCCAAGATCTGCGATGGCGAAGATCTTTTGCCCGGCGCTTGCAGGACACTGTGGTCCACTGTGAGTAGGCAAGGAAGAATTGTGCTCCAGAGTTTTTGGACTAGGGAAGGGAAACCATAGTCCAGAGCCTGGCAGGGCGAAAGGGAGGTCTAAGACTAGGAGATGGGGACATAAAAGAAGAGTCCGGGAAACTCTAGCTAGAGAGCAGAGGGGAGGAGGGAGGGAAAATGGGTTTCAATGAGCAATTGGATAGTACCCAGAGGGAGGATTTTAGCAGACTTCCAATGGACAGTGATGAAGTTACTGCAGGCTTACCCAATCTTCTTGAATGTGTTGACGTTCCAGGTGTGAAGGGAGATATGGGAAGCTTTGAGCCATATCTTGAGGGACTTGCTTGCACCCAATTCTTTGTGCCATCTTGACAGAGAGAGAAGCACCAGTTGCAGTTCCTTAAAGCATAGCGAAGGGCATTTTTAGAGAAGGAGAATAATATCTTACCTGAGGAAAGCGTCCAGCAAGACAAATCCGTGACTCTCCAATCCTCCACAGCCCAACATTGAATGCCTTTGATGTCGTTATGTTTCGAGTGACAACGACCCACTAGCGAAAGCTGTAGAGCTTTTTTGAGAAAAGAAGTGTGACTGTCACCTGCAAAGATATAGAAGGTGTGTGGGGGTGGGGGGGGAGGGGGGGGAGGGGGTGGGGGGTGGAAGGAGATGGGGAAGGTGAAGGCTCATTGGAATGGAATTGAAGAGAATGGGAGCCAAAAGGTTGGGGTGCAGAAGGCGGCATAGACGATTTAATAAGGTGTGCATAGTTTTTGTAGAAGGGAGGGAGAGAAGGCGAGAGGGGAGGATGCGAAGAGGAGGGAAGGGGTGGGAAGGAGGGAGGGAGGGAAGAGGGGGTTCTGAAGGGGAGAGGATGGCCGAGAGGCGCTCCTTAGGATGGAGCCATCGTCCTCATTCTCTCTTTTCTATATTCAAGTGGCCTAATGGGTTTCATTGTATTTTCTTTCTTTTGTTTTAAACTGCAGAAAATGCATAAATCATGAAGTATGCTGAAGAGTAGAGGAAGACGAGATCTTAAACTGAAATGTTTTTCTAGACAACATATCTACCTCTTCCAAATAGTAAGGTAGTTGAGTAAGTTAATGTGCATTTCTTTCCCTAACCTCAACGATTTAAAACTTTGTTTGTTTGAGTAGGTTACATTCATTGAAGATCCAAAAACCTAAAAACTTCCCAGTAACTTTTTTAATTCAACATAAATCTTTTACTGTTTTGCACTTGTTGCATTACTCAGTTTGATATCCTAAAAATCATTTGTTCTGGTAGATTGTGATTTAGAATATGAATCAACGAGAGAGCAAAATAACATACGAATTGGAATAGATATTTTTTGTGAAATTTGTGCACCTTTTATGTTAAGGTGCTCTATTGCTCTATATTTGGAAAAAAGTACAAAAAACAGAAAAAAATTGTTTCAATAGTAGAATGAGATGGATATCAGAGAACTTATTTTGTGCTCTCTTGGAAATTAGAAAAACACTATTGGCAATTGTGTAATTCAAGTTTGTTCCCAAGATTCTTCCTGATGCATGTTTTTCTTCAATATGCTCTTCCATGGAAGGTTTGTTTATAAGTGTTGCTTCTATTTATGAAGTGTTGCTTCCATGATATTTTATGGGATGAAAGTATAGATATTCCAGCTAATTATTACATCAGGTATACTCTCTTCACATCAGTACATTGCTATTGTTAAATGATCCTGTATGAGTTATGAAGTGTTGTTCCTTCCTTATTCTATTACATTATTATTGAGTGTTTTATTCGTCTTCTATCTACATATTTTTACTTTTTAACAGTATATTTTCCCCTTGGACAGGAACCTTCATAGAATATTTCACGCATTCAATTGTTTCAGGCCTTGGGAGAGTTGAAATGGAAAGAAGGAACTACTGCTAGAGTAATCCTCTTAACTGAAGTTAAGGTGCATCACCCTGTACTACAAAATTGTGTTCGATGCTTTCTAATGCCTTAATTGGTAAATCACACTCCTGGTTAGATTTTGGTGCAACTATTATTTTAAGCCTCCCCAAAATTAAGTTCTATTGAGTTTTTAAATGAAGTTGTCCACTTGGTTGTCTCTAGTAGAGATCTTGAAAGAACCATTGTGAAATACCAAGAGTGCGTATAAAACTTGCATTGTCAGGATAAAAGAGCTTGAACTTCTATTTACTCTTTCATGGTATTTAATGAACTTTTAGCTAAACAAATTGAGCATCTGCACTTCACAATGTTTCTAGAAGCCAAACAATACAAGGAATCAGGCTTCGGCTTGATTTAGTTGCTGATGGCTGCAATTCGGTTCCAACTGCTGAACCATTCAGAAAAATGCTTAGGAAATAAAAAAATTAAAAAAATAGAAAAAGCAAAAGGATAGTTATCATATATTGAAGAAATGGACAATAGTTGGAGTTTCTGATTCTGCCCTGGGAAAAAATTGAACTGTTTTAACTTCATGGATCAGTGATAACTCAGGGGTTCACAGAACTGAATGAAGTGTACAGTTCATATTTCCTCCCTTATGTATGGGCATTTTATATTGCATCTAAAATTATACTTAGATTCATATGTCCTTGTAATTCACGCTAGAAGCCTTGCTATTATTTTTAATAGCTATGGATAGAGGATTGATGTGTGTAAGAAAAATGCATAGATGGAAAGATGTGGATGAATATAATAGCCCGTACTCCCTATTCCAAAAAAACAAAAAACGATATAATAGCCTGTACTAGGTTCGAGTGAGGAACCCTTTCAAACTCTTGTTCAACCTCTTAAAAAATCTTTTCGGAGTTTATGATTTTTGTAAACTAACTTCTCAAGAATGTGCCAAAAGAACCCAAGAAAAGGTCCTAGAAGGAGCTATTTATTTCCAATGATCATTTTGTTGTGATCTTAATCACCAAGTCAAGTGCCAGATTTTACTCCTTGTTTTCTTATTTCACTTTTTTGGTTTCTAGAATGTGGATTATCATTTGGAAGTGGTATTGGAAAGGCCAAAAGCCTCATTTGTTTCAGCAACTTGCTATCCGTAGAGTTCTTTTCGGAGAGAGCTTCCTGCCTATGAAAAAGTGTTTTCATACCTAAATAGGTATGAAACCGCTTCCCACCAAAATGCAAAATGCATTGTGCGCCCTTTTCAGTGTAGAGCAGTACTTTCTCTCATGCTACACTTTCCCATGGAATAAACATGGGAAAGCATTAATCCAGTGCGAAAGAACTTTTTGAGAGAACTTTTCTGTGAAACAAACGTGTCTGCATGGAATGTGCATCTTTTCTGAAAGAAAATGATGTTAACATGACAGTTAGTCACTTCAGAAAACCCATTATACCTGAAGTTTTAATAAAAAAATGCATGCAAAGGCCCATATCCTCTGTCCCACAATGAATGCTAGAACTCCACTGGGTTTTATGCAAAGCATGATTACAACTTATTCAAGTTTATCAATATTTGTCTTTGTTGAGGGACCATGGAGAAGTCTACGACTTTGAAGCTTTCATATGCCATATGCATGAAGGATTCAAATACAATACAGTCCGCACTTATTAAATCTGAATGGACCGACGGTCTGACCAGTATAACCGGCAACTAGAACCATGTCCAGTCGTTTGGAAGATCTAAACCTGGATATTCAAAGAACCAGTCAAAACAGGAATTTGCCTGGTCCGACCGGTTCAATCACCGGTAACATTCTGTCATACCAACCAATTGACTAAAAATAAAGAGTCAAATTTGTCAAGAGCTCAAAGTTCTTGCTTTTTTGGGTTATTTTTCTAAATTTTTGCATTTATTTTTCTTGTCCCATTGATCTTGCTGTTTCATATGTGTTTTTGTTTTTTGTTTTTTGTTTTGTTTTTAATTCTTTTTAGTAGTCATCTTTTGGTTTGAAAGTCTTTGGGTAGCCTTGGATGCACGTTGACGACAATCATCAGGCATGGGTTTGTTCGATGAGGAGTCCTATGAAGCGCCATAAAGAGCTCAAGTAAAGATTTAAGCCAAGGTATGTTGAACCAGTTTGCTAAGCTAGACGTGTTTGCTTCTCTCTCTCACTATATGTGTGTGTGTTTTAATTCAATTATTTCACATATGAATTAGGGAATTTTTACTGAAAGTTATTTAGTCAATAACTTCAATTCCTTTTTCCACGATATGAGTTAGTTTGATTTAAATTTTCTTGCACCTGTCTGCCTCGCGATCAAACTCATGGTGATGTGTTTACCAAGTTTAAAGAGCTTCTTTACTATTAACTAATGTTTGAAATTGGCACTTAAAGAGATGGACACCATGTTGTGTAAACTTACAGATATGAAAGTGTTGTGCAAACCGAGAGAGATGAATAATATGTATGTTAGTATTCATGAGTTGCAGCCAGATGTACTAAAAAGCGTTTTTCTTTCTCCCCCCTTGAATTCTCATTGCATCTTTACATGAATAATTTGACATTTGGTAGTTCTAAAAGATTTTACAATGGCCCATAATAAGTTCGATGAATTTTGGCATTAGAGTTAAGGTAATATACTAAATCTTGAAATGCAATTTAATTTTTTACACTGTTTAGAATTTTTACCACAATTTTTTGAAAAAGATTCTTATTTTTTACTAAATTTTCATTGGTTTTACTTAAAATTTTATCACTTTTGTTTTTTAAAATTTTTGAGAAATTTATGTAAATATCCCCTATGTGTTTTTTGATTTAAACATTATCCCCGATATTTTATGCTTATATCCCATTTTTCAAAAGAACAATTGCCACTTCATTTTTCTTTTTTCTATACATCGAATTGAGCTCAAATTTTGTATGTTTATCATAAAAAAATTGTAAAAATATAAAAACAATTAAGTACAAATAAATTACCAAAATATCCTTGCAAATTTTAGAGTGTTTTAGTTAGTTTAGGTATTTTGGTCTGAGAAGGGTGAGGATCTTAAACTTTCCCATAACTCATTCTAAGCCGAGGTAGGTTGTGTTGGGTTAGTAAGTGGCTAATATAAAACTTTGCCACATCTTATCATAAATCCTTAACGAATGTTATTGGTCATTAATAGAGAAGAATGGAGGAGCAAGATTCATGTAGACGACCCTAATTAATTGGGATAAGACTTGGATGATATGATGATGATGATGGAGTCATTATGGACATTTTATTTCAATTGACTATCTTTATATTTTCTGTGGTAGCATTGATGTGACATGTAAAATTTGAGCCAAATCTAATGTATTTGAAAAAAATAAAATTGAAAGATTAGATTTGCCCTTAAGATGTAGGATATGAATGTAAAATATAAGGAAAAAGCTAACAATAGCTGGGAAGCTATAATGAATAGTAATATAGGTGGAATTCCAACCTTCAGAACATCATCGAGTGGTTCAAAATACATATCACTATTTTAATTTTAATTTTTTTCTATGAATCTGATTAAGATGAAATTTTAGGTGTATATACCTAATACTATTGCGCACCATATAAAAATATATAAAAAAATATTTTTAGTAATTTAAAATGACTAAATTACCCCCGTTATTTTTCAGGGGTATTTGGTCATTTTTTATGCTGGAAAATATTTTTATATATTTTTTAATTGTGCGCCCTACTTTTTAGTATATACTTCTAAACTTTCATTATGATCCGATTTTTAGAAAATATTAAAATTCATATAGTGATATGCATTCTGAACCACGTGATGAAGATCTGATGGCTCCCATTCCACCTATATTCCTATTCATTATAGTTCTCAGCTATTGTAAGGTTTACTCAAAATATAAATGTTGAGAAATAATTTCTATACGAGATGTTCGTAGAATTGTTTTAAATTTTTTACTTTATTTATTTAGAGAAAGATCCGACCAGTGACCTCTAGTTAGAGCCATTTAGATTGGAGCAGAGAACCGCTAAGTGGAAAGTCGACAATATGAAATGGACATGACTCCCACCTAATAATTAATTGGTAGGGCAAGAGGCAGCTCACTTCCACTAAGAGGTAGTGGGACCTTGTGTCACAAGACGGCTCCAAATGAGTGAAGGAGAGAAACAAAGATGAAAGAGGAGGAAAAATTCAGAAAAATATGAATAAGAAAAGAAGTTTTTGCTTGTGAACTTTAGATAGGGGGTGCACCAATGTAACCGGGACTAACAGGTTTCTCTCGTGTAACCGGGGCAGAGAAAGTTACCTGAATTTAGCAAGATCTCATTGAACTTCTCCCTTTTCCTTTTAATAAAAGGAAAAATATATAAGGTTGTAACCTTATACTATAGAAAAGTAACATGCATCTCCAAAATCTATTACAAAAGAGTGTTCTAAAGTTGGAAAACCTTCCAATTGATCATCTCAACCTCGAATGTATTGATATAAAGAGGAAAAAAGAATTTCAAGTTCTAAGAATGGCTCCTCTTTCCTAACTGATTGAAAGTTGATTACGAGTGTTTAGGTATGATATTCAGTTTCTAGTTGTTTAATTTTTTTTCTTCCACTGCGGTTTTGGACTGGTTCTTCCAATATTGATATCAGAGCCAAGTTGGAATCGGGTTCTTGATTATGCCGGCGTTATCATTTTTTAGATTAAGAAAATCCTATTTTTTTTTTTAGAGAAACAAAGATTTCATTGGTGTTTGCCTACTCATAGTATGTTGTTCCCACTTAGAACGAGCCATGACCCATTTTTTTGCTTTGCTTGTGAAGGCTAGACAATGGTTTGGCCTATGATGTTACCAAGCGTAGATGCTGCTTAGGTTGAGACCATGTGTAGGTGTGCTATTTAGCCTTATGCACCGACTATATAGATATGCAAGGCATATGCATTAAAGAATCTCCAGCTTTATGCATGTATACGAGTTGCGGCCTCTTAGACTATGAGCACAATGGCTAACTAATCTTTATAGGCCTTGCAAGCCATGCATGGTGGGCCCAACTCACTTTTGGTGTTATGAGCTAACATCTAACCTCTCCTTTTCAATGGGAGGGCAACTAGGACAGTGCACTGCTTGCAAATTATGAGGTATCCGGATCTGAGAAAGAATTGATTACAAGCAAACGCTCAATGTGGCTATGTGAAATTTTCATATCAAGACTTTTGATCAAGTTTTACAAGTAAATATAAAATGAGCAAGTGTAAAAATGATAATCTAAGCGTAATCATTGATCAAATAAACCATCAAATATCCATATTAATCGATGTCTCTTTTATTGTTTTGAACTTAGAATGACTTATAAAAATGTGATCGTGGCTTTGACTAAAGGTGAAAAGTTGAGTGAGAGCAATTTTCCTATGTGGTATAGGCAAATGCAATTCTTTCTAAATGAGCAATGTACTCTTGAACACTAACTACCATTAAGTAAAAATCCAAACAAGTTGTTGCAGAGGAATTTCTCCAAGAGTATGAGGCATGGGATAATGCTTACCATAGCTATAAGTGCTATCGTTGATAATCTCATATTTGGAATTTGAGGAATTCACAATAGCGAGGGCTATGTGGGATGCACTCTAGCAGAAGTATGTTAGAACTTATGATACTCGGTTGCAAGTCTTATCTATGGCTTTCGAGATATACAAAATGCCTCCAAATGTGTCGATGGCAGATCATGTAAGAAAAATATCTCAAACATTATATGACCTTGAAGCAGCTGGAAATAAACTCAGTCATGAGCAATAGATGCTTAGGTTACTTAAGTGTCTTCCAAAATTATGGGAAAATATAAAGTCATAATTTTACACAATGAGGTTGTAACAACTTCTTCCCATTTTTTACATCACGTTGAGATTGAGGTTGAGTTACACCTATCTTTTGGATCTGGAACTACCTTAGTTGTCCAAGCTAGTAACCTCAAGGCCATAAGCCGCGAGGTAAGTCAAAGAATATGGCACCTTTAAGGAAGGAGCAACCTAAGTAAGGAGATTGAGAAAAAGAAAAAGGCCAAACATAGATGTGGAAGGCCCACAAGGGACAAATTTGAGATGGCTTGATACAATTATGAGAAGAAAGGCTACTTTGCTTGTGAATGCCCTAAACCTAGAAAGATACAAACTAATTTCCCTAGCTTTGCAATGTTTGCATACAAGTACTTTTTCCTCATTCACAATTTACTGGGTAGGTGTGGATACAAGGTATCTAGCTAAGGATTGACAAGGGTTCGTAATGCTCCAAATGTTTATCAGTAGGAAGCCATAAGATTTTTATAGGGCACATCAGAGGATGTGTTAGGGGTTGGAACATAAAAACTCCAGTTCTAAAGTGGACAGATCCTTCTTCATCATGACATCCTCTATGCCCCTAGGAAGAATTTTCTGTTTTATGTTTAGTTGGAGATGTTTTATTAATTTTATGCTTAATTATGCTACATTTATCTTTAAGGACAATTTTTAGTGTTATGGCCAAATCATGAATAACTTGTTTGTTTGGGATATTGATGAGGTTATGCTTCACTTCATTTTTCTTATATGACATCTTCATCTTTCCCACCTTTTCCATCAAACACAATTTCATGATGTAGCATACTAGGCTTGCTGAAAAAATAGGATGATCCGATTAGCCAAAGAAGGATTTTTGTCTTTATCCGAAATAGACTTACCTATGTATGAATCACGTATTGCCAAAAAATCAACTACAAAACCCTTGTCTAAAGCAAAGAAAGCAACCTGCCTTTCTAGAGATGGTACAATTTAGATATTTGTGGTCCGCTTAATGAGATGAACGATAATGGTTCTCATTATTTTATCATATTTATAGATGACTACTCTCGTTATAGGTATATATATCTAATCTCACATAAATTGCAAGCAATGGATTGCTTTCGCTATTTTATGCTAGAGGTTGAATATCAGTTGGACAAAAGAATTAAGATTCTTTCCATTGATAAGCGAGAATACTTATCTGATCTATTTAGAAAGCTTTGAAAGATGGGGGAACCTATAACAAAAAAAAGATGCCCTATTCTCTACAGCAAAACGGTGTTATAAAAGGACTAAACTGTACTTGTTGGGTATGGTGATGTCTATGATGCTTGATGCCAACCTCCAAATATCATTTTGGGGAGATGCACTCAGTGCTGCAATGTATGTCCTGAACAAAGTACCATCAAATTGCATTCCTAATGCCCCTTATGAGTTATGGATCGATAGAGAGCCAGATTTTCCTCATTTATGTCCTTGGGGATCAAATGTGTATGTTCACATCCATTCTCAGTTGACAGGAAAGCTTGATAGGTGGTCTGTTGAGTGCATTTTTTGATATGTATCTGTCAAAAACGTGATTTGGCGTGATGAAGAAAATTCCTATGAATGTGGATTTTATAGAGATAAAATTCCTTAATAGGAAGTGGCCTCTTATGTCTAAAGAGCTCTTTGAGGAGCCTGAATCGTAGACATACATTGAGGTGGTTCCTCCACTTGAGGGCAATAGTAGTAGTTCTCCCATGATTGTTAATGAAAGTGGAAGTGAGCCATTGGAGAATGAACAAACGACTTAGATTGAGTCATCGACCATGCTAGAGGCACTTGCGATTCCTACAAGAACCTCGAAGGAGTAAACATGGAAAATCTCCTCATATACATTTCGAAATAGGAGTTCTCACATGCATTTCACTTGATGCTGATGAGCCTACCTCATTCCAGGATGCTTTGAATTCTCTTGATACGGATTGATAGATGTCTGTCATGAAAGAGGAGCTTAGTTCCATGGAACAAAATCAACTCTGGGAACTTGTGGATCCGCCGCCTAATAAATACTTATTGGAGACAAGTGGGTCTTGAAAGTCAAGAAAAAGGTAGATGAAACCAATGGTTTAAAAATCGCCAAGTCAGCACAGACTCGAGTGATTAGACACGAGAATCAGGCACCCCATGTCGATTCTAGCTCAAAACAGGAAACCGCATGTGTTTAGAACGGAACCGAGCGAGTCGGGCGATTTTGACGTCACGAAATAGGTTATGACGTCACAAAACGTCATATAACGAATTATGACATGGCCGTGTTAGAGGGCATTTTTGCATTTTTTCTTTAAAAAGGGGTAATTATGGCATTATACAAGTATGACCACAACTGCCCCTATGAGCCGCATGCTTGATCATGCTTTTCAAGCACGCAATGAAACATGGTACTGATGAGGGTTTTATTGACGACAAACTTCTCTTATTTTTTCGATGTGGGATTTGAGCATGGTAGTTAGGCTTGAAAAGGTAATACAATATAACCTTTTATTATAAAAGATAAGACATTGTGGTGTGGTTGGTTATCACCTCCGTCTTGTACACAAAAGGTTCCTAATTCAAACTTAATTTTTTTTCAAAAAAAAAAAAGAAGTTACCTAAGAAGCATTGTCTTCTTGTTTTTCTTGTTAAAAAATAAATAAATATTTCTTGTCAAAAAAAAAAAAAGTTACCTGGGCAGCACCGTGTTCTTATTTTTCTTGTCAAAAAAAAAAAAATGTAATACGACAAGTATTTATTGTCAAAAAATAAATAAAAAGTATACAACAAGTATCATGCTTTTCAAGCCCGCATTTGAGTTGCGATTATCGTACGTTTAAATTAGATATGCAAAAGTAATACAATATAGGCTTGAAGTATGTTAACTCTTTTTCTCTCTCTCATTTATGAATGCCTATTGTTAATTTTTTTTCCCATAGGAATAAGTGGTCTAATTATATATATATTTTTTATAACATGGTGGTCTTTAACATAAATTTAGGAATATTAATTTAAAGATAGGGTTCATACAATGAGGCCATTTGAAATCTCTCTCTCTCTACTAACAATCTCTTCCACTAAATTTATTCTAGAAACTTAAAAAATTAGATTTTTGAAAATTAAAGTGTTATTTCAAAAAGAACAATGATTCTATAATGCCCTCCCACACCCATGTGTGTAGGACCCCAAAGGATCACCATTAAATATGACACGGATCTTTAGAAAAGTTATCATAAGAGTGTGGGACTTGACTGTTCTAGAGATCTGTGTCCTATTTAATGGTGATCTTTTGGGGTCCTACACACATGGGTGAGGGAGGGTCTCATAGGATCATTACTCTTTCGAAAATTGGTATACATTCTAGTAATTTCTACATTGATAACCAAATCTTGTATTTTATTTATTAATTTATTTGCATTATAAATTATGCAATGTACTATTTTTCTTACAGTTGTCAATAATATAGTTTAAATTATTTTGGATTTGTTATTATTTGTATAGTAAAATAATTATAAAATGTAAACCAACAATTTCAATTTCAGTATATAATATTATAGTTAGGTTGTAATAATTTGGGTTTTTTTTAGTGGATTAGGGTTTTCCGCCAATTCAAGATTTTGGTGGCCATTTTTCATCGATTTAATCCATTCTTTATTGTAGTCCATGTATGATTATATACTTTATCCGTGATAATTCTATGATTTTTTTTTCGTGTGATGTAAATTTAATAGTTAACATAAATTCGTACAGGGAAAGAACATCTCAATATTCATATATTGATGAAAAAAAATGAAAGTTAATAATGTAGTACCCCATTTCTTAATGGATTCCTAAAAAACAACATTTATAATGTTTTTTTAATTTTTTTAAATTTTTTTTTATTGTCAAATCCAACCGATTCAGCCGATTCTCGATCCAAACCGTCAATTCACCCATCCGGATGGGTTTTCGGGGTGCCCGATCCGGGGCACTGATCTGTTTTTTAACCACTGGATGAAACTATAGATAAGTATAAAGCCCGACCAACATGGAAATGGTTCACCTAAATTGACAGAGTGGAATGCGATGAAGCATTCTCCCTAGTGGGTGAAAATAACCTCAATTTGCCTAATCCAAGTAGTCATCATATATTTGGATCTGGAGCTCTTCTAAATGGATGTGAAGACTGGAGCAACCTAAAGGTTTTGTAGCCTCGGGCCATGAGTGTAAAGTGTACATGCTCAAAAAGTCCATATATGGTTTCAAACAATGTTTATACATTAAAAAAAAAAGGAAAAACATGCGGATATTGCCTTTATATGTTAAGATATTTTGTTCACTGGGAATTAATTGGAGCAATTTCTTGCCACAAAGGAGTAGTTGTCCTCTAAATTTGAGATGGACATGGTTGAGACGAGTTATATACTCGGTATCAATATACTTAGTGATCGCTCTTAGAAGTATCTTTTTTATCACAAGAAACATATATCCAAAAGAATCTTGAGCGATTCTACATGTAAGACTCAAAACCCATACACTTCCATCAAGAAAGGGCATATTATTAATCTTGATAACTATTTGCAGATGGAAACTAAAAAGAACAAAATGTCCCAGGTTTAATATGCAAGTGCGGTGGTTAGATGTACGCGATGTTGTGCATGCGTTCAGATATTTCTTATGTTGTGGGTCTCATTATCCGATACCAAAGTAATCCAGGAGAAGGTCATTGGCTAGCAATGAAGAGGATTTTCCAATGCCTTCGGGTCACCTCGATCAAATGCTATGTTTCTAGAGAACCAATATGTGGTTTTTGGGATGTAGTGATACAGATTGGGCAACCGACCTAGATGAACAAAAACAACTTTGAGTTATGTCTTCTTGCTAAGAGGCATGCAATCTCATGGTGCAACAAGTAGTAGTCGTGTGTCACCCTCTTCACTATAGAGTCTGAATATATTGTTTGTAGTGCAACAACATAAGAAGCGATATGGTTTAGGATTCTTACAGAATTTGGGTATTTATTGCAATTGCTAATGAGCCCCTCATTGTGTTTTGTGATAACACAATTTCACTTGCTTTTGTAAAAGGCCCCAAGTACCGTGGAGAGTTAAAGCACATTGATGTTAGATATCACTATGTTCGAAATATTGTTGCACATAGACATGTGGTGTTAACTGATATTCTTAAACTGAAATGGTGGTGGTACCAAGGCAGTGTGTCAGACTCATGTAAGAACTATGGGAGCCTATGAGTTTATATGACATTGTAGGATGTGAGACCCTATTATAATGCAATATGGATGTTATTTGTATTATGTTTTCGCATGGATGATTTTTGCACTTTAACACACACAAGCACATAATAGTGAGAGATTATTATTTAATTCGCAGGCGGGCTAAAGCTCACTAGTTGCACAACTAAAGATGCCCTCAATATCAGAGAGATTGGAGTATGAGGTATACGCATGGTGTGTTTATCACCTCAACCAAGGTTCAAGATGAGATTTTATAAGGGAGCTGACATGGTCTACTCAAATTGATGTCCTTGAGATCATGTAGCTTGTACGTAGCTAAGTATGAACATCATAAATGTTCAGGTTGATGCATGGATGTGATTGTGGGGTTCTTAGATGATGATTGATTTTATAGTTGTGAAGAAATTGTAACCTGCATGGAATGGATTCTAACACACATTTTTATGTGATCCATTATGACATATGATTCATACCACACATGCTATATTAGTGACCAAAACACCTATTGGTGTAGAAAAAGATGAGCCTTGTTCCTTTTTGCAATTGTCTGAGCTAACTAATAGGTGACCCATGATACCCACAAAGACCTTAGACTGGTTTAAGAAACTTTGATTCAATCTTTCTCTTTAGCATGTACTCCGTAAGGTCGAATGTGAGACTCGTTTAGGTCATTGCTGAGACAATATTTGGGTCAAATAGAATGATGTAGGTCATAAGGGAAAACTGTATGATATCATAGTCTATTTCTATACCACAAGGAAATATTGCATATTGCGCACAATGAAAGTAATTGTGTATGAATGGGTTAAGTAATATTCTGAGCCAAGCTTATGAGGGATCCTGTGTGGTTAAATCAGATCTAGGGTAGGTGAAGTTATTTTTAATTTCTTTTTGCAGGTATGGAGAGATGAGGTGTTTCATTCCAGTTGGTTGAAAATTTAGTATAGTTCTCTCTAACATAATGTTCATTCCAGTAGGTAGTATGCCACAATTTCCTCTTGAATGAAAACTCACAATGTAAAAATAAAAGACAACTCTTATTTGAGCATGCAACCCCTCCTACATAAGAGATAAGTATGAGATGTAGGCATGGGGTGCGTCCCTGGTGGGAGGCACACCCAAGGGATGATCACCTTTTCACAAAAGGGGTTACAACCTCTTCTTGAGAGCAAGGTAGAGAAAGGTTACACCCTCTTCATGAGGGGGTTACCCTCCCATGAAGGGCCTGCACCATGCACCCTAATGGTTGCCCACTCATGAGGGGTTACACCTACATAAATAAGGGCATGGGAGGGACTTCCTCTCCTTATAAAAGGGGGAGAGGTGTAGGTCTCAATACATTACAAAAAAAGGGAGGGAGTGAGGGAGGGAAGGAGGGAGGGAGGGGGGGGGGAGGATGTATGACAAAAAGGTGTGAGTGTGGTAGATCACTTTGAAGAGAGAGAGAGAGAGAGAGAGAGAGTTCTAACATTGCCCTCATTTGAGTGGTAAGGAGAAACCCAGACCTTGAGATAAAGAGTTATGCACGAGAGAGGCAAACTTGGATTGCTTCTCATCTTGTAAGCATTGCATTTTTAGGAGTATTCATGAGCTTTCACCTTGCTCAGACTTTGTGGTGAAACCGAGTTCAACAATTGTAGTGGTTGTTGGGCTTGCCTACAAGAGTTGACTATTCCTTCATATTTTTTTTTTTTGAAGAAATGAGCATAAGGAAGACATTCCCAACTGACTGAAATTTAATTGTGACCACTTAGGTCGATTCCCAGTTTAATTTTTTCTTGCTTCCGTTGTGTTGGATCGATTCTTCCAACAAGAATGATAAACTTAACCGCAAGCAGGATATCAAAACTGGCGTAGTGCCCATATTCAGTACACTTTTGAAAGATGGGTGCTCTTCCTCAGAAATCTTAAGCAACATACTGTGATCTAGAGCCCTCATCATGTAGTTCTCTAAAGGGCAGTGAGAAGCTATTTCATCTAGTGAATTTGGCGCATGGAAACCATCTTTTAGAAGTCTATCTTGTGAGAAATGAAACTGGATTCCAATTTTAATTAGATGGAGCCTATAGAGATCTATTGATTTGTATTCTAAATGCCTTAACATTGGGATTGTATGCTATAATACCATTTTTTCTTGATACATGAAGGTCACAAACTCACAGTCGCCTCTAGTCATTAGCCTTGAAATCGGGCAGCTAAGGGTGCATCCACATAGTTCAAGAAAAATTATCTTAGACTTTGAGCACAATGGTACACCCAACTGTTAGATTTCGCGTACGACATCTCAGTATAATGGTGGCCTTTTTGTACCAAAAGCAGTCTTATTCGATCTTTTCCCTAAAGTACTGGGGTGGGCTATACCTGAGTTACTTAATATGATATTTTAACATCTGTGATAGTGGCTGCTGATGAGGGCATGTATGTAAGTCCCATTGAGAATTAGCTAGGAATTTTTGGTGCCATTGTTGAATTTTGAGAATTCTGAGCTTTGGTTATGGCAACTACGTCCCCCACATGAGTGTTATGATGTTGTGGCTTGAAACTTTCAAGGCAATCAATGAGGCGAATATACCACATGGCGTAGGGCAATGTCCAAAATGGCAGTGGGTCACAATGGGATTGTGCCCCCTATTTTGGTTAAATCATGGCCTTGTGCACATTTGTCTGTGGGGTCGTTAGAAGGGATGTCCAAGAGAGAGGTATGTTAAGGTATTTTCTCATGGGCTTTTAAATTGGTTTACTTCACATTTTGGGAGAGAGAGTTTCTTAGTTGCTCTGAAGTTCTCTTTTTTATAGTAGTTTAGCAGTGAAGCAATGAGATTGATCGTCACTGTTGTTTGGTTGGAAGAGCAAGTTTAAAGGGAAAATCATAAAGTTTTTGTCGATGTTTAGAAAGAATTTGATCTCTTGTAACAAAAAATATAATATTTATATATAGTGGATTTTGACTTGCAAACACCAAAGACAGTGTTCGATGTGAATCATGCATTCTATGTGTTATTGTGGTTTATTTCTATTTTTGCTTTATTTTTAACACTCCATTTGTTACATTCCTCTATTTCTCATTTAATTTAATGACATCCACAATCTTATGCGGCATCTCGATGTTGAAGGTTACTAATTCCATAAGCAAATGCACCATGAGAATCTTACATACTCATACTGCAAGCTCAAGAGAGAACTCAACAATCAACAAATAACACAATGAATTTCAATAGGAATGGGCTCAAGGCTAACTGGTCAGGATATCAGGGTGCCACAATATAATGATTTGAGTTCCATTTCTATTGTGGGTAGGGGACCCAATCCCTACTAAACTATCCAAAAAATAAAATACTGAATTCCAATCGCAAAAGATGATCTCTCTCAACTTGATTGCCCTCTCTCTCTAGGTTATAAATGTAAAAAAACTAATAGCTAAGGAATTATGAGATGCACAAACTTGTGGAGCAGTCTCGATTTTGGATGGCTTTCTAAGCTCTTGGATCAAAGGTTTGTTAGATTTTCTCTTTTCTCTATTCCATTCCTATGAAGACATTGTGACTGTTGTGACTTCCTAAAGTTCTTTCACGGTTTTCTCTCCGGCGGTTTGATTTGTTGTTGATTTTATTTTTCTTTAAAATAAAATTTAATAAGATCTCCCCTCAACAAGAATCAAATTTAAGCATAGAGTCCAAAATTTAATGTTTGAAGTGGATGATTGAGAAAAAAGATTGCAAGATGAATCATTTTGAGGGTTTTAAATCATTTTTTACAGTTCGATGTTCGTCGAGGTGGATTATCTATAGGGATTTCATCTACCTGAATGGTTTTCTCCGGCAAGTTATTGGCCGTGACTCCTACAATCGGTCTTACAAATTACTTAAAACTAAGAAAAGGGTAATGATATTTTTATCTATGGAGGTAATAACTCTTGTTGTGAAAGATATCTGCAATTTCATGGTGGGTGCCTATGGCCCCATTACCATTATAGGGAGCAGTAGGGTTACTTAAACTGTTTGTGAAAGATATCTGCAATGTCATGGTGGGCTCTGCCCATGGCCCCATTACCATTTATAGGGAGCAGTAGGGGCCAGAGAGAGAAAGAGAGATATGTTGTCAGTATCGGATCAGTGACCGCGAGGGCACCCTTCATTTGGACCAGATGAACCAAACTAGTTCACTGGTCTGACCCGTATAAGAAATTAAATGATTAACAAAAACAATAAATTTTTAATTTTTGTTTTTTTTGGGATAATTTAGTGGAGAAGATAGGCCTTTACCTGTTTTTTAAAATAGATTAGAAATTAGTTTTTTTTTAAGGTATTAGTTTGGTGGTGTTAGTGGTGAGAATGAAAACTACAACGTGGTGACCAGGATGTGGGGTGCTACCACCACAATATTAACCCGTTTCTCAAATTTTAAATTTTGTCCTTTTCAAAAGATTACTACTAGTAACAAATGAAAACCACAAAACCTTTTTGCATTTTCTCAATATTTATATTGCATTTTCCAATATTTAGTTTTGTCATTTTCTCAAGATTTCTAGTGAAAAATGAAAACCACAAAACCTTTTTGCATTTTCTCATTATTTATATTTGCTTTGCATTTTTTAAAATAAATATTTCATATTTCAAAGTTCCAAACATGAAAAGAACAAAAAAAGTAAAATATAAAAAAAACAAAAAAATGAAAAACAGAAAATTCAAAAAGTAGAAAGTTTTCTTTTTGTTTGTGTTTTTCTTTTTTATTTCTATTTTACCCCTTTTTCTATTCCTTGGATTTTCTAGTTTTTCTTTTCAGCATTTTTCATACCAAATATTGAAAAAATACAAGTAAAAAAACACAAAGACGTGCTCCAAATTTAGCTATTTTTTGTTAAACTTTCAATGACTTTTACAAAACATAAAATAAAATCTCTTGCAACTTGCAATTTGCAATTTAAATTTAAAATTATAAAGTACAAAAAAGAGAAATTGCAATTTTGGATTGAACAAGTTTTTTTTTATTAGATTTTATGATTCACTATTTAAGCCCCTACAAATTACAACATTAAAAGTAAAAATTGTACATGTAAAAAAAAAAAACCAAAAAATAGTAGGGGTTTTTTTATTTTTTATAAGGAAAATTATAGATACTTTAACAATTTCAACTTTCCACACATCCTACTTCCGGTTACTTTTTGTATTGTATTCTAAACTTGAACACTATCTTTTCTTATATCTACCCAGTCATTTCGTCAATGAGTTTTAGGACCAAAGTGCTTTTTGTTTTCTCTCTTTCCCTTTTGAAAGATGGGTCCCATGCTACCTATTTGTCTCAAGCTATACACTTTCTTTCTCTCCATCTGTCCTCCCATTCTCTCTCTTCCCCCCGCCCTTTACTCTCACATTCCGTCTTTCTCTCTATATCTATTCTCTCTCTCGTTTTACCCACCGTACCTCACATTTTATTACACCAAATGATGCAAGGCTTGAAAATATGGTATGGGAAAAA